ATATTTATACTTTTGCATTAGCGATCTGTTTGCTGCGGCTGCTGGATCAGGAGGCTTTGATATATATATTTTTTTCCCTCTTCTTCACAGGCCATCTATTCATTCGCCTTGCATGTTTCCAGGCTGATGGTCTGTGTACACCGAGCTTTATATATGCTAATATGGCAGAGCATTCTCATTAAAACCTGCCGGTTAAAGGGATCAGATGCCGTTATTTGATTGTGCTTCTTTTGTAGCCTTTTTATTTTGCAGGCCTTTATATTAAAGTGACACTAAACTTAGATGTTAAATCTTAAAAATGCACTCAAGTGCCTTTTAAAGGGACATTAAACCCTCAGATTTTTTAACATAAAACAATACTGTAATGTGCGCCTTACTGTAATCCATGGTTGTTTCCCTTCTCTTTGCTGCTCTTCCTTTTAAATCTGTATCTGTTCTCATGCTGGGCAGAACTTCTGTTTTGCAGCAGACTGCCTTGTCTCTGGAATGGCTACATGGTGTCTGTGTATAGGTTTGCAACCTGAGCCAGCACTACAGGAAGAGGCACTCAGCTGCAAAGGGAAGTTCTCCCCAAGCTTGAGAAGACATGAGGATTTAAAAGGAAGAGCAGCAAAGAGGGAAACTACCATGTATTACAGTAAGGCACACATTACAGTATTGTTTTATGTTAAAAAATCTGAGGGTTTAATGTCACTTTAACTATGAACAAAAATGTATCTTATTTGTGTATCACTCCGCTGGAGATCCTCAAATCATCTCTGAATTGGTGCTGACACTGTCCTTCCTTCTGGAGGGGGGCTACTTCTGTTCCCCGTGGTCCCTGTGTGTGTTGTAAAGTAGTCACCGCTCCAAGCTCAGTCCCGTGGTGGACTACAATCTCAATACAAATGAGTAAACTAAACATGAGATTGTAGTCCATCACAGGTGCGAGCTTGGGGCGGTGACTACTTTACAACACACACTCTAAATTTATATTCACATCTGCTGCGAGTGCTAAGCTAGCAGTGCTGAGCGCTGACTTGCAGCACAGCGTTCAGCGGCGGTACTAACTCGCCACTCGCAGAGGCTGAGCAATTGAATGTGCTGCTGGACTCCCAGGAGAATGCTGCAGAGAATAGGGCTCTCTTGAGCATCCAGGACGATGACCTGTGACAGCACTTACTGGATGAAGTGTTGCAGAAAAAAATTAAATTAATAAATATATATATATATAAAGATGCCAGGTGTATGAACATAATACAGCCGCAGTTCTCTGTAAGAGGAGAAGCTTCTTTATAGTTCCTGGCGGGTCCTGCATTACATTCACTTTCTTTTAAATGGCAAGTTCACTTTTGTAATATCCCATGCGATTCCACAAGTCCCGGGAATTAACAATGAACTTAGCAGCTTTTAACCCTTTCGCTGCCAAGGACGTACGTCGTACGGAGCTACAAAAGTGCTTCCAGCTGGCCAGCTCAGTACGTCGTACGGACCTGGCATTTACAGTTCTACTATAAGCTGATGGTCGCTTTAGCGACCATCAGCTTATAGTAGAACTGTTCAGCAGACTGTCCCCTTTAAATTAATAGCTGTCATCAGCGGCTCACAAGCCGCTGATGACCGCTAATTGTAAAAATACCGGGCGCCCCAGCCGGCACCGCCGCTGCTGGCCGCCGGCATCTGGAGTCTCTCATCCCTCCCTGGAGCCATCCCAGGGAGGGATGAGGGACTCCATGGATCCCCACTGCTTGTAGGGTCTGTGGCAGCGGGGATCCATTAAAAAATCACCGTCGGGGGGACTGCCGTGACGGGCTGGATTCCCCCCTCCCCGCTCCGATCCGCCTGCGCTGACTGACGGATGGGAGGGGGCGGGTACAGCTAGCTCTGCCTCTAGATAGGCAGAGCCAGCTGTCACTCACGCAGCTGGGCGGATCCAGACATAATTGTCGGAATACGCTTCAGCTGCGGCATCTCGCATATTGCTTTTTGTTCTGTTGCGTGTGTAGAATAACACTGGACAAACACAAGTTGCGGCTTAATATTCGGAACCATGAGCTTTTAATTGGAAAACTTGTATACTTTATCGCTCCTTAATGATTGCTTAGATGTAATTAGTGACAGTTTTTTATACCGATATATATATATATATTTTTTTCCGGTACTCGCCGATAACGGATGTCCCATTAAGGAATCCGGATGGTGTGTAATGACCTGCGGTCCGGGCTTCCTGATTAGCCGGGATGCCAGCTCCATGCTCCCTCGTCACCAGCATTGATAACATTTACATGAAGCTAATCACCTTTGCATATTTCCTATGTTTATATAAGTATATATAAGCCAAACCTTTCTGATGCTTTTTGAAGTGGGAAAGGGTTAGAACCGCCCGGCACCTAGATTCTGTTCTATGGAGGACAACTGCTTTTCATTGATGCAAAGGAATGAGCTGCAAAAACAAAAGCCGATCCTGCCTCCTTCAATGGTCCTCTGGCAGTGGGAGGTTTATGTAGCCGTTCCTCCTACTAAAAACTGTACTATAATTTTATTACAAGCAGTGAGGTACAAAGTATGTGTGTGTGTGTGTTTTTACTTTCTTGCCCACTTGCTGTAAAAGTATCTGCTGAGTTGGTTGCACGTCAATGAAATTGGAGGAGATGGGGGGGGGGGGGGGAGGGGGAGAAA